AATTATTAAAATGAAGCGCACCAGAGTATCTGAAAGTCCTTTTCCCTAGCGTTAACTTGGGTTTCGGCAAGTGCATGTCGTTCCTTTTCCTCGTGTTGTGAAGACGATCTATAGCATGCCATAGTTTTACAATATTTTTTTTAAATTGCATTATTTTTAGACATTTTTCTTACATTTTTACTGAAATCTTAATCTTACATTGTAAAGCACTTTAGAATATTTTATAATCTTAGCACTACGTAAATCTATTATTATTGTCATTGTTATTATTATAATCAAAACTATAACAAAATTCTTGAACGTGATTGGCTATCAGCAGCCTGATTTGAGCATTAATTGGACAATGTACACATCATGCTTGTAATTGGACAGTACGCGTCATGTTGCACGTGCTGTTGCAGTGCACTTTGTTGAGTAAACTGCTGTGTTTTTCAGCATTCATAACAACATTTAATTGTTCAGTGCTCAATCAATGGTTTGTTCGTTTCTCGAATTTTGTCATAGTTTTGATTAATTGGTAACAGGACATCGTGTCGTCCAATTCAGTCTGTAATCATACTTGTGATTAACAAATCGGACTCCTGCTTTGGGGTCATCCGATTTTGTTAATCACTTGTATGATTACAGACCGAATTGGACTCCACTCAGTCCTATTACCATTATTTATATTATAATTATGTTATGATTTTTTTGTGAGAAAAATTTTGAAAAAGGAAAAGGAAGAAGAAAAAAACAAAGAAAAAGGAAAGGATTTTGGAGTTAAGTTACCTTGGATGACGTGGTGGTTACTAAAGGAACACTACCGCACTTTATAGCATTACTGTGTGCTAATTCCTACCTGAATTTTTCAACTATTCTTATACAACATGAAAGTCGCATTTCACCTGTAACACTTTCAAGCATTTATCAGCTTTCAAAATCCCTGCTGAATGCTCTAGTAATCCAGTGTAATAAGATGGAAAGCTTAATTCTGGAAATCTTTTCTTCAGTTTCTGGCTTGACAAAACTTCATAACTCTCTCCAGCAGCATCAAGGGAACTTATTATTTCTTTTATTCCTTCACCAGGTTCTTGTTCCACAGTTAACATTCCAATGTTTCTGAAATTATTCATAATTTCATAATTGAAATGTTGTCTTCAGATTCTACAGACAGAAATAGGCCCTATATCAACATTGGTTTCAGGCTTTCAGGCAGTTTTATAAAATAATAATTCTACCATTGGCACAACAGTGACAAACCTATACGTAAGTACTGAAGAGGATCATTGGTGGTGAATTGTGGAAGAGTTGCTTGGACAAATTAATTAATCACGACTACTTTGGGGAGTCAGTGGGTTCAGCTGAGAAAGCAAAAGACTAAAGTATAGTTTGGGTAATGTATACCGGTACTTACCATACAGATGGCTAGATATTGGCCTTGTGCTTTTTTGCGTGCTTATGGACCTCAACTCCTCAACTCCGGGGGCAGGGGTGGGGTGGGTGGGTGGGTGGTACTCCCTTATATGGGCTGACATAGGTATGTGCAGCCCCAAAGGGTATGGTTTTTCAGCCGTTTTGGTCATAAATAGGGTATCAATTTTAGCTGAATTTGGCCATTTTGGTCATAAATAGGGTACGGTTTTTGCGCTCTGGCCTTGATATGGGTATGTTTTTAAGAAGAAGCCACTTTTTCATCATTGTCGCAAAAAAAATCAACAAAAGCATTTCACACATCATGTTTACCATGATTTGACATTAGTCTGAACTAGGGAACTAATTATAACGCAGGTCTGAAACAGGGTTTTGATTTAAGGGTCACGTCATAAATAGGGTTTCAAATTTTTGGTCAGGTCATAAATAGTGCAGGGAATATCGCAGATTTTGGTCATAAATAGGGTAAAGGTTTTGGGAAGTGGGCCACCCACCCCTACCCAATTTTTCTGGGAGTACCCCCCCCCCCCGGGTTCAACTCTGCCTCTGTCCATAAACACGCAAAAAAAGAACCTGGCCAATATTCAGCCATCTTGATCTCATGCTTGGTTATAATCCAAATAATTATTATATAGTACATTAACTAAATATTAATACCTACGTTATCATTATTTCCTGCTGTGCTTTTGTTTCAATCTCTTCCCACATTTTACGGGCTTCACCAACCATTTTAGTATAATAGGCTTCAGCATAGGAGAAGCGAATGATTCTTGTCTGCCCATGAGAACTGCCTCGCCAGTGTGGAAGAGGAAACTTAACGAGAAAAAAAGTTGCCCATTTAATGAGTCCACTTTGAATACTTAACGTGAACTTAAGCTTGCTATCACGATATCCAAAAAGCAACTGATTGCTGATGGATGTTAGAATAGCCGTTAAAACTTACCTGCTCCAATAAAAGAGTTTTTTGCCCTCTGGAAGCGAGGTAACGAGCTGCAGAACTTCCTACTACACCAGCTCCGATCACACAAACGTCGTACGACGGGTGTAGAGACATTTTAAAATTTACTAAAAGGCAGAAGAATTCTTTGTGCTATGTTACATGTACTTTGCACTAGAGTCTTTCATCCAGAAAATGCTGAAAACAAAGCCAGATATTTCGCAACTGTGCAACACTGAGTCTATCTATCTACAGTCTGCCGCCATTTTACGGCTTTTCTTCTTTCACGCAACCAGAACTTGAAGTCACGTGATGGGGGTAGGCTTGAACAGGCGTTGTAAAAGGACGAGGCGTACGAACCGCACAGACAGGAACCCTCTTGGTCCCTGTTTTCGTTTTTCTCTAATTCCTACGATGAAAGTGCGATAAAGCAAAGAAGGGAGAGGAGTGGCGCAGGGGGGGGAGGGGTGGGTGGCGGCTGGGGGGACTAAAGGACATTCGTGGGTTCCTCTCAGATATTAAGGTCTATTAAGAAGTGCTCGTTTTCCCTTTTATCTTTAACTTATTATGATGGCAGAGTTTCATTCTAGGCATTCTAGGAAGGAACGCCGATGTTTCATCCTCTCCTACCAAGGTATCTTTTATCGCTTGTACGCGAAAAAGAAATTATTTCCAAGGTTTCGACCAGTCACGGTAAAATCTTCAAGACTTCCCAAATCATAGCATTCGACAAAGTCATTATTGTCCTAACAATGACAACGTCTTTATTGCCATTTAAGTCGCTATAGCTCTACCCTGGGTGCCAGAGATTTTTCTTCCGCGGTTTCCCGTGTTGGTCATGTCTCTATTGTGACCCGCGAACCTCTGGAGCAGAGCGCGATTTCTTTGACAGCGCCGAGCCAATGACAAGCCTGTTTAAATCTGTCTAGTCCAGAATCAAGATCTGGACAATAACAAAAGTTGCTCCAAACGTTCGACGGTGTTGACAACTTTAAAGCGCCGAGCAAAGGGATGGAATTGCGAATTTTATTCGCAGCAACGATGTTTTAGCGGTTTTGTCAACGGGATTCGGGAAATCGTTGTCAGTTCAGTTAATTCCTGGACTCTGTGTTGAACTACACAATGCTCCAGACGCCCGGTGTACCAGACGAGCTGGAACAGCATTTTCAATGCGTATTTTCACCGTTTGTAGCTTCTCCTGTCCAACAGACAATATTCTTTTTGTAATATTCTCAGTTTAAATTTGCGACTTCTTTGACAGTCGCCTCGAATTTTTCGATCCGTCGGTAGCACGATGATAGTCGATGATAGTTGAATGATTCTCCCCGAATTTTCACCGACTATCATCAGCTGTCATCGACTATCATGCGCCGTTTGACCAAGGCTTTACAAAGAATACGCGGTCCGACGGACAGATTGTCGTCCTCGAGAGTGAAAAGTGTCGAGATTCTTTCGAAGACTTTCAGTTGTTGAGCATTTTCAGATACAAGGCTGTAATATCCACCATTACGCACAACATTAGCGTCAAATAAACGGCGCGACAGCGAAGACTTAGGCGGAATCTTTTTCACGGGTGTATAACGTAGTTTTTAGTCCCGCAGGAGCCATGAATTCAAACCAGACCAGGGGCCCGTTTCTCGAAGGTCCCGAAAAGTTTTCGCACCCGGAAAGCCGTAGCAAAATCTCAATCTTTATGATTACAGAGCTGTTTTATTCATATATTCTTAGTATAAACAGAGGTTCCATTCGGTACAAGAAGTTTCAAGCGTGTACACCTCTCTGTCTTTAGATACCGATTAACAAAAAATGGTTTTTCGGGCCCGAAAAGTTTCCTGGGCTTTTGAGAAACAAGCCCCAGATCTGTCATGTCACGTGAATATATCATGTCTTCACGTGTCAGTCCATGTGGGAGATGCTCACTGTGATTGGTTTTAATGTAATCCAATAAAATTGATCAAAGTTCAACGACAACAGTGCCAGAGGTTTTTCTCGCGGCCTCGTATTTCCGTCCACCGCGCGCGAGAAAAAACCTCTGGTGCCCATGGTACTATAGCTCTTATTTGTCGGGCTGTTTCTCAATGGCATCTTTTTGGGATTAGATAAAACTTAAACTATGCCCAGATTGTATAATTCAAGCATCTCTGCCCACGGGTCTGCCCCTTTAGGCGGCGGTACACCTAAAAGTTCTGTAAAAGATCGAATTTTTGTTTTTTTTTTCCGGAATTTGAATCTTAAGGTATTAAAATTCTATTTTGACAAACATTTCTGTTACTGTAAGTTCAAAGCTCGTTTTCTCAAAACGAGTTATTTCTGCCTTTGAGTCCTTTGAGAAAAGATATTTTGAGAAGGATTTGTCCAGTTGAGCTGAAATTGTCGGGACTTGTTGTTCTAAGTAAGTTTTGTGTTTTAAGCATAGACCTTTTTCATCCAGTGTATTTTGTCGAAGTTATGCATTGAAACGTATGCTGGTCTATGCTGGAGTTTCTGTATCAGATTTGACTGATCACCATTTCATGTGTTTTTAACTTTTCAAATATCTCTTTGCTTAAAACAGTGAGCTAATTGTCTTCCTTTAAAAAAATGTAAGAAATTATTAATTTTGACCAGTTCTTGTAGGAGTTATCTTTTCTCGAGTAAGCCTTGGCATTCCCCATCAGGTGGCAGATTTAATCAGCCAGTGTCAGGTTACAATACAGTTCTAAAGTACAACAACAGTCTGCAGGGCTCAAAGTTTATTCTTGGCTTTGGGAGCACTTGTGCGACCAGGTGTACATTTTTAGGCGCACTGCCGAAATTTTAGGCGCAGAGTTAAAAATTTTAGGCGCACAGCTTCAAATACTTGGAGCACCTACTCGAAAAGAATACTTAACGCTCCAAAAAGAGCGATTCAGGAATCGTGTTGCAATATGGGCCTATTCTAGCAGTATTGGACACAACGAAAACAAATAAAAGATTCAGGATATTTCACAAAAGGGTTATACTTAGATATCAACTACCGACGTCGCTCCGTTGCGTATCCTCACTATCCAATTGCTTGTTGTTTGCCTCCCTTTGAAATTCTGTTCAGGAAGATTCTTGATTTATTCAACATCTGGGTATTCGTGAGAACTAGCACAAACTTTGCTCTTTTGGCTACTGCTTTCAAGCCATAGAACTCGTGGACCAGCCCGTTCCGAAAACGCTGGACATTTTAGTGTGTTAGACAAGCGAAAACAAAGCTTTCTTTACAAAACGCAGCATTCTGTAACAGTTGTTCGCGAAGAACGAGCACACGAGTTAATTCTCATCCCCAGTTTCCACGCTTTCCGCTAGATCATCAATTGCGCAAGAATTAAGCATGTGCTTCATTCCCTCATTTGCACGTGTCAGCGGAGTTGTTTACAACACAGAACGTGGGGAAGAAATGAACGTTCGAGTTCAGAGAATCCACTGGGAAATTGGGCTTATAGATGACGAATAGAACACACACCGATGAAAGGAAAATGGTCACGTGCAACTTTATTATTTAGTGCGTGGTTGTGTTATGTCTATGTTTATATGATATTTATCAATCTGAGTACGTTAGTATGGTTAGGAGAGTAAGCACTGGAGAAGTCGCACTGTACTTTGGCTTTGAAGGCGCCGTGGTGCGACCACACATGATTTTTTAGGCGCACAGCCAAAAATCTAGTCGCATATGCGACCAGTTGGTCGTTAACTTTGAGCCCTGCAACAACAAAAAAGTCATAATATTTGGTCTTTAAGCGTTCTAAAATGTATACTTTGCCATGGTTTGGGATTAAATCTAAACCACGAAAAAAGTTTGAAAAAATGGTGTGGTTTTTAGTTGACCCCCGCCTTGACATGGGACTACCCCCTCTTGGTCTCCCTACCCAGTTCAGTACTGGAGTTTTCTTGCGGGAGGTCCTTACCCGGCGCTTTAGAAATACGGTAGAATCCCGTTAATGCGGCCACCAATGGGCCATGAAAATTTGGGGAGGCCATTTTAGGGTCAAATTTCATGACCATGATCGTGATACATCACGGGCCTAACATGAGTGCTGTGACAACTTATCAGATATATCACAGTTGCACCTCTAAACAACTGTTCTTTAATAAGCACCCGGAAAGCAGATATAATTTTCAAGAATTGACCTTGAATCGAAACATGGCTAGCGGTGGGATGCTTGACCATCACGGGTTATACCAACGCCCTAGAAATAGACACCAAACGAAACATTGATAACTCATCTACTTCTTCAGAGCTGTTGATTGAAATAACAGCTGCGTTTCATCAGGATCTTTTCTTACCACTGCACGTACACAGAGCTTTATTAATAGCGTTTAGTTTGTCATTAGTTTACATAGCCACCGACCTAAGCTAACTTACAGCTGTCAGTCTTTCAGCTATGGAACGAAGGTAGGTTATAACGAATCGTACCTTGGAAAACTATTCACTAGTTTTCCTAGAGCTAGTAACGTTAGCTAGTTACCATATACCCCGCATTCTCGATCATAACAGATGTATTTTCGTACAGTTATCTTTCGATCTAAACATTGCTATAATCTGTCGTTGTCTGATTGATTATTTCCCAGTGTAGAATTCAAAAGAGATATATTGCTCTCGCGCTGGGCATGTTCACTACAAGAGGGGGGCGTGGGGGGCCTATTAGAAACCGAAAAATCGCGTAGAAAATCGCCGAAAACCGCCAAGCCGCGAGAAATTTCGTCCAAAACCGAGAACCGAAACAAAAGCCCTCACTAACAAGCTTTGGTAGTCTTCAGAATCTCTCTTGGTTATTTAATTTTACACGTCTAAACTTGTTTTACTTTCCGAAGTAGCCTGCGGGCAGGCTCACCTTTGCGTCACACGCGGGAGCGGCGAAGAACAAAGCGATCCGACGGGAAGTCTGGTGAAGAGGTCCCAAGAAAGTGAGCCTGCCCTGATCTCTGTAATTTTTTTATTTCTGCTTCGTCTGAGCGAAGTGAAATACCATTGGTCAAAAAGCGGGAAAGGCGAGAAAACTGTCAATCTGTTATGTTTGATGAGGAGCGATTAAATCCCCATGGAGTCGTGAGTTACCGCACAATAAAAAACAATTCGTCCACATTGGAGTCAGAGGAAGAGTTGAGTGCGCGTATTACTGATGTTTTAACAAAGTTCCAGTTTTATTTCTGGTTAAATTTCAAACTAAAGAGGGAGCAGGAAATAGCAGTTGAAAGTATGTTAATGAATCAAGACGTACTTGTCGTGTTGTCGACTGCATATGGAAAGAGTAAATATTACAAACATACGTGATCGCAAGCGGGCAACGAAACAACACGAAGGCGTTTGCCCGTTTACCAGCATCGTCAAAGACCAGATTGCCAAAGCAAGATTACTCGGAATCAAGTATGTGTCCTTAGTAGACATAACCTTTGGCAGCTTTTCTTCGGCAAAACTTTATCAACAACGGATATCGCGCCAACATGTTGTTATGAAAAAGATTTACAATTTTCCCGAGAAATCTGAGCTGCCAAAGTTCATACTTTCGTTTAAAATTACCGTATTTATTCGATTAAGCGCCCAGGGCGCTTATTTAATTTTGGACTTTCAGGGTGGGCGCCTATTCGAGGTGGGCGCTTATTCGAGGCTGGGCGCTTATTAAATGTTCACCATTTTCAGTAAGTAAAAAGTTTATTTTGTAAAAAAACAATAAATAAGAAAAAAAAAAAAAAAAAACATGACAAAATATTAAAGCATATAAATTGTAACTGTTCATTGTTCGGTTTGTGCCCAGAACTAACAACTCATTGTTCGGTCTTCGCGGAAGTCTCTTTAGCTATCATAATTGTCAATCAACATCATAAAATTTTCAGACAATGAAACTAGAGATTAAGCCATTAAAGAAATACCGTGATAATCAATACCCGTATTCCTCTTGTCCACTTTAATATTATTATTTTGGGGGGGGGGNCCGTGGCTGAATATTCTTATTTTTCTGCCGATTTAAGACTGAAAATATCTTGTAGCTATTCTTAGATTATAGCGCATGACATATCTGTTTTCGAATGTATTTGTCGTCTGGATGGAGTTCGGCTGTGCGCTTATTAACTTTTTCTACCCTCAAGGTGGGCGCTTATTCAAGGTGGGCGCTTATTCGAGGTTGGAAATAAAAAGAAATAAAATGCAAACAGCGGCAACAAACATAACACATGAACTACGCATGGTTTGGAACAATAATCTAAAATTTTCCAACGTGAGCCTGCTCGCAGGCTATTTCCGAAGTTCTTTCTGCGTATTTCCTCGTTAATTAGTGCAGAACACATCGTAGTCTAAAAAGCTCTTTTTGTGTAAATCGGCTCCACAGACCTATAGCAACGTGAAACTAGAAACAAATTGATAAGTTAATAAAGATGGTGAATTTTAAGCTCGGTAATGAAATGTGAAGGTGAATTAATCAACATGACACGAGCGTGGGACAAAGAAAAATT